TTGAACTCACTGCAGTCGACGGTGTCAAACAGAGGCGGCCGAAAAAACAAAACAATAAAAACAAAAACAATTTTCGCTGACTGTTGCTTTTCTGCCGGGATTTACTAAAATTGTACAGGAGCAAGGAAGCAAGGGCTTCGCAAGATGGACTCCGGAACAAAGAACTCAAAGCCTGTCGTGTATTCACCTCTTTCGTATAAGAAGAGAACCGAAAGCCATTAAAAGAGATAAATGCCAACATGTATTGGTTTTGCAGGGGATATATTTTGTTGTTGTATGTTTGTATTAGTACTGTGTTAATGTTGAAAAAAAAACAAAAAACAAAACTCACAGTTGTTTTCATTTGTACTGTATATCACTGATTAATTACAGGCATGTATAAAAAAAATATTACACTCAGATAGACCAAACTAAGGTTCACCATAACCTTAGAGCAGGCGTGGGCAAACTTTGTGACTCGCGGGCCACGATTGGTCCTAAAATTGAACATGGGGGGGGGGCAGATAGATGGAGCGTTGGTGTGAACTAAGATAAATGACATGTAAAAGGCTGAAATGCTCAAACGCTTTTATCATTTTCTATGCCATCTATTGGGGAAACGTGGGTATTGCAAGGAAAAAGACAGAAGTATAATGATAATATAAATACATTATATGATTTGGAAAAGTTTGGAGGGCCGGATTAAAAAGGCTGAATGGGCCGCATCCGGCCCCCGGGCCTTAGTTTGCCCATGCCTGCCTTAGACAGTAACTCTTTCACAGTGGTATGGCTCTAACACAACTACAGTTTTAAGTTTCCAGCAAGTGCCAAGATACCGAAAATGAACCTCTTGCATCCGACTAACGCCGAGGTTATCATCTCGCGTAAATACATTCAGCCGAAATGAAGAACCTCAACACCCATTTAGGGGGATAGGAACCAATGTTTCAGAGAAATTGGAGGGGAGTACAAAAAAAGGGACTATTGCTGTGGTTATGTAGGGCAGCGAAAGCCACCAAAGACAGCACTGTCACTGTCCCTGTCCCTAAAGGGGTCGGTGCCAGTGCTTGCTTCTGTAAATGCAACAGTATCGTCAGGTATCCCGGTGACGGCAGGAATTCACAAATTGCATTTGTGTCTTTCAGTAGAGTTGGCTACTAAAACAAAGATCGCTTTGTCTTTAGTTAGTCTGCTGTCCGCTTTTGGCGTCACACGGGTAAAGGTGTTTCCACGCCCATGTACATACGAAGTATTTACGTTTTATAATACTGTAGCTACATGCAAAATAAAGCTGAGGCACTTACTACTTCAATTGTAGATTCTTGCTACTCCAAAATTTTTCCAAATATTTTGCATTTGGATTTGACACAAGTGTGATCTTGCCAAACAAATGACACAATGGCACAAGTATATTATATATGTATATATATATGTGTATATATATGTGTATATATATGTGTATATATATATATATATATGTATATACATATATATATATATATACACATATATATATACATATATACACATATATACATATATATGTATATATATATTATATATATACACATATATATATACATATATACATATATATATACATATATACATATATATATATATATACATATATACACATATATACATATATATGTATATATATATATATATATATTACAGATCATCCATTTGACAGTAAACCCATCTACAAGTGGCGTTCATATCTATATTTACAAAATTGGTTTCTAGAATTCTATGGGGTTTCTTTGTCAATCACAACAGAGGTGACTCACCTGGATGCTAAGAGAATGCTCAAGTGAATTCAAATAAGATAAATAATGCAGAATCATCCCCCGGAATTTTTTTTTTTACTCCTGAACCAGATGACTTTACCGAGCTTTTTTTTTTTCATACGTTTGTCACCGGACACTGATCAAATCATGATTCTTGAAGAGTGAGAGTACAGTGAGTGAGTTGTCAACTCTCAGTAATAACTGCCATAACTGCCAAGGTGCCATTGGTGGCGCTATGAACAGTCCATGTTTTTTTAAAAAAAAAAATTTGCAAGTCATTTTTTTTTTCGCCTTCATTTGATATTGTTGTGTAGATAAATCATCCTCAACTCATGTCATTTGCATTTATCGGGCAGCCATACCAGGAGACGTGTATCACTAACCTTTGACAATCTCTGTCTGTGTTGCAATATTATCACTGTTTGGCTTAAGGCATCGATCCAGATGAGGATTCTTTCAAACAAATCGATGTCTGAGCTCTCCTTGATAGAAACGGACGTGTTTTTTTTTTTTTTTTTGCAAACCGTCTTACTTTTTTTTCACATGAACCGAGACCTTCGAAGACTGTAACAAAGCGATGACTTCCGAGTCGGTTCAAAGAGGTTTCTATGAATGACTTCTTATACAGCCATCTTTTCTTTTTCAACTATGGATGATTTGTTAACTGAAATAAAAAATTGTTGTTCCCAGGAAGCTTATTGCACTGGTTTCTTACCATGTAATTCCCGTTGTCTTTCGCATTTTGTACACACCCAGCGTCCTCACAACAGGTTTGCGAAAAGTTGGCTAATTATTATTTCAACTATAGTCTACTATACTGTACGTTACCTAGATCAGTGGTTCTCAAACTTTTTCTACTCCGTACCACCTGAGAAAACATTGATGTCTCTGAGTACCACCATGATGACCAACATTAGCATATAGCAACATAGGCCTTCCCTGTTAGCTTCCACCACAGGAGAGATGTTTATGTTTAAATGTTGTATTAAATATGCACAGTATGTTTCAGATTTATTCAGCTAAAAATGTTAATATGAAAATATGAACGTTCCACGCGCACCACTAGAGAGCGCTCGCGTACCACCGGCGGTACGCGTACCACAGTTTGAGAATCACCGACCTTGATGTTTCCACAAAAAAAAAAGACTGCATGATAATATTTAACTACATCGTTCAACTTTAGAACAAAAAACCTTAATACATTTGATTTCATTCGGACCTAGCACGATCTGTTAATCAACAGAAGAGGGACATGCTAGCCTTATGGCAGGTAACAAAGTGGCAACCTAGCTTCCCCCTCCCCCCCCCCACCAGCTTTAGGTTCTCAGTCAGCTTCTCCTCAATCATGCCCTTCAACCTCTCACCCACCCCTGAACTAGTGACGGTGTAAGTCCTGTGCCTGATAAAAGCACAGAATGTCCAGCCAGCGGCGTAAATGTCACAACAACTGCTAACTGATATGAACTGGGGA